GACCAGCAAATTGGCAAAACTTTATAAATTAAACAATGTTAACTAAACATAGATTTAATTTCATTATTTTTTATTTCAAGAAATTCGAGATAAATAGAAATCATCATAAGATACTGAGAAATAAATTTAATCAAACAAAACAATTGGGAGTTCATTAATTTGCAGACATCCTTCAATTTCTTCAAAGAATTGATTGATTTTCTTAACTTTGATTGGTACTTGAAAAGGAAATTATATTTTGGTATTTACAACCAATAAAGAAACGTAAATACCTACTTACTTCCTGTTTTATTTATATACGTTAAAGAATGGAGATATGTTTGTTTATTAAACTGATGTATGGTTTAAACTATCATTAGTCAGGCGATTTGCCCGCGTGATTATGACGATTCCATAGTAATTTTATACCTAGAGAACCATTTAGTGCGGTAAAAAGTTTTAATATTGTAACAAAAAATTTTCTGTTTTTTGGTAAGCTTAAATTTTTTCTCGGTAGGCATATCATCATCGGTCCTATTACATCCTTACTGTAGGGGCTCAGGCCTTCTTTGTTGATGGTTAAGGAGGATGGGCCTCTACCAATTTAGCTACGTCCAATGGTTTAACATGCCTATGCACAGAGTAGCTCGAGATAGTATTTTTTCGGTCATCCATCCCGCGACCGACTCATGCAAAAGTTGCTTAACAACAGCGATCGCGGACAGCGGCGCTTATCCACTACGCTACCGAGCTACTTAAGTAGACATATGAGTTAGATAAATAATAGATATACGTCTGAGCTCATCGTTGATTTTCCACGCAGTTTGAATTAACTTATTTCATTAGTTACACTATTTGTATTAAAATGGACCAGTGTTCCCCAAAAGTTAGTTAATTAAGCTGAAACAGGACGATCCGATCTTTGCAAAGGATGATAAATTGACCACCAAAAGGATATTCTAACATGTGGAACGTTAAAATAGTTTTATCGAAGCCTTGTTACTTATATTAGTAGTTTCTTCAATTAATTACTATAAAATACAATCGATAATATCAACAAATTCATAAATACCCAGTGAAAAATTCTGAAGACATTATTACACCCATCTATTGCGACCGCTAAAGGAAATAGTAAATAATAAATATTACCTATTATTAGACAACATTACATTTTAAGTAAATGTAGAAAATAAACTTTTCTATTTTTTACTCCATATTAGAATACAGACTTCCAGATCCTCTCATATGGTGACTTCTTGAAAACGACGTGCGAACCTCTCGGTTACAGAGGCTGTCAATCGAAAAAATCTAATCTATACTGGCATTATAAAAATTTCTAACTTTGTTTGTAAGAGGTAATCTTCATCATGAAAATTCTTTTATCTACGGGATACACGTGGGTGACACAGATTATAATTTAGAAAGCAGTTAGTATATATATATTTAGAGTTCTTTAGTTCATTTTTCCTTTATGGATAGGTCGTTTTTTTTTTGCATATGTATAAGTCTGAAGACTCGGACATTCTTTCCTTTTGTTATTTTATTAAGATATTTTAAGACAAAAAACATCCTGTGTTTCTTTAATGATCAAAAGAAAAGTTTCCGGAATCGCTCAAAGTTAAATATTAATCAAATTGGCAGTTTTAAATGGTTCTTTTGAATTTTTTTCTTTTAGATTCATTGAAGACTTATTTCTGTTTTGAAATGAGCAAAAAATTTCTTACAATATTTAACAAACACTCTACTTAAAGCCAATATACAAGAATTGGATTTGAGTAAATAAAACATAGTGAAGACTAAACTAAACATAAGAAATTCTCTCATCTCAAATGTAAGAAAAAATCACCAATTTTTTTATCAATTTCAGCCTCTTACATCGTCCACTTTCAGAAATAGGCCTCCTATTGCACACATCCAATTTCACCCAGTGTGTTGCCTGATCTTCACCATCAAACTCGATCTCTACCACACGTGCTCGACCATTCAATCACTTTTCTGGCCCATTAGTTGCTATTCATTCAGGCAATAATTTCCATATTTGTTCACTTGAAATGGAATAACAGTGTAATAAATAACTCACATTCACTTTAAATATATGTGTTAGAGCAAAAAAACTTATTGTAGAATAATAATATACAAATATTAAAGAAATCAAATCTCAAAGTCAATAAAAACGTTAAAATAAATTAGTAAACATTGATCGTTTACAGGAATATACGAGTACCATAAAATGTACGAAAATGTCGATCTCCAATTTCCGTTTTCAATAAAAAGGAACAATATTTTTATTTTACGTCCCACCAGAACCTTTATTATAATAAAAAACCCAAATTTATTGGCACTTACTAAGCTCTACCCTTCGGCTAGGTTTACGTGGCTAAAGTTATGGTGTTGTACGGTGCATGAAGAGCTGTGTGTGTGCATTATGGTAGGATATGTTATGACAGCCCTGCGATTCTTTAAAAATCCAGACCGGAATTCGAATTGTTTCACCGAATTCACGACATTTGGTGTAGAAATTCTATTGATTCCATTTTTTATATAAAAATACAAAGCAAAATTGATTGATCATACATGTCTCAGATATTCTATTCCATTTCGAAACTTACTCAACTTATGCCACGATTATGCCACGTTATTACCAAATTAAAGTTGAGCGGATGCCGTATTTTGAAGTGAATTCAGACACTTGAGTTAATTTGAATTCGGGTTTGGATTTTTAGAGCATCGCAGGGCTGGCCATCAAATAAATTGGTTTTAAAATATTTTTTTGCCCATAACCATAGAGTTATGATAAAATATCAAACTACACTAAAAATGTAACCAAATCAGTTAACTAATTGTTTATTTGTAATTAAAGCGTTGCTCGGAAACAAAAACAAATTATTTGGGAACAGATATTGTAAAATTTTGTCATTTAGTAAAACCAAATATACTAAATTTTAAATAGTGGCCATTGGAAAAATGATCCTGGTTAGATTATTTAAGGAGTGTTTTTGACTGACAGTGATTGATTATTTCTATGTTACACAGAATTCCAAAACCTCTTTCAGTTGATTCATCGGTGATGAAACTATGTCAACCAGAAATGCTTAAATATCAGCAATATCCCTACACCTATTTCGTATTTGTAATTTGTTGTAAAAAATTTAATTATACCAACGAAACATTTGCTTGGTTATCTCTCTTTCTATCATTTGGTGGACGAAATCAATTTCTAGAAAATACGATAGGTATATTATTTTTGTTCTAGGGTTTAGCATTATTGCCCATGTCATCAATTACTGTTTGTTTTTTAAGTTTTATTCAACTAATAATACCAAATAAATTAAAGAATAAATGTGTTGGAATATAAATAGGATTCAATTTTTATTTTGTTTTGATGACAAAGGAATTATTTTAGATATGGTACTTACAATATACTTACACATCTTTACAATATATGTGCAATCTTGAACGAGGAAACGTGTCGGTTACATTATTGGATGAAGTTGTTAGGACCGGTGATTAAATGGTTGTTTGTAATTCTCATAAATATGTATAGGCAAATAAGTACTGGGGCTTTCGAAGTTTCGCGACATTGAAACATGATTAAAGTTATTCTATGTATAGGTATAGTTTAATTTTATTAAAACCTTCTTTATACATATAACTGCTTTAAGGCTAACAAGAATTTAGTAATATGCCTGAGTAAAAAAAATATATATTTAGTTCATCAGTCAGATAATAGAAAAATATTAGGTACGTATTTCTTTTGCTATAATTTAACAAGAAATGGATTAGCTTAGATATTAAACTCAAAAAACTTTATTTTTAATTTGCAATATATTTATTTTCTTTAAATCTTACAACTGTTTTAAAGCATTTATCCTCAGCTGATTAAGCTGATATTTTGTACACGGGTTCAGTTAAAACTGCAATAATTCCTTAGTTAATATATTTTATCCAATATGACGGAAGACCTACCTTTTTTTTTAAGCTGAGAAATGCGTTACGCATACCCGCTTCACCCTGCGCAGGCTCCACGGGCGCTGTGGGACTCCTCCTGTGGCCCCACCCCCGAGGGGGCTAGACAAGAAACAGGAGTTTACCCACTAAAACTCAGCGATGTCCCTCTCATGGTGGGCGATGCGCGGAAACCTACCTACCTGCCATGTAATTTTTTATACACTGTCATGATACGGAATATTTAAGGGGATTTATCAAATTAAGTTCTATTTTATCCAGTTCTATTTTAGCTGGAATTGTATCGTATGTTACTTAGTAGAATAGAAAAACCATTTAAAACTGTAGTTTCGTTCGGTTTCGATCCATTTTCGATTCGATTTAAACAAAATTAATTTAGTAGAATTGGCCCCCTGGGTAGCTCAGTGGTTAGAGCAATAATCCGGATTACGAAAGGGTTCGAGTCCCATCTCAAAGTGTCATGGATAAAGGCATTTTTCATTAAAAATATAAATAGACAGATTTCATAGACAGACTTCAATAGACATATTTCTTGAACCATATAATTCAGTGTTTTTTATTCTTCTTCTTGGTCGCATATCTTGACGGATATCGAGGCCGAATTTTCGAAACTCACTTCACTTATGCCACGAAACGTTATTAGCAATTTAAGGTTGAGTGCATGCCGTTTTTTGAAGTAAATTCAGACGCCTGAGTGAATTCTGGTTTGGATTTTTAGAGAATTGCAGGGCTGGAGCTTCTCCGTGTCCGTGCTTCGGAAGGTACGTTGAGCCGTTAGTCCCGGCTGCACACAGATGTCAATCCACCAATCTGTACTGAGCCCGCGTGGTGAGGCATGGCCCATTGTTCCTATTAAATTCTTAGCATCGGGAAATCCTGTGCCCCAGAAGTGGGTACGTTACCATGCTGATGATGATGTTCTTTTTTGAAACAATTAATAAAGAAATTATTTTATAACCTTCATTGAGTTTCGGGACGTAAAAATTACAACTTTCCATAACTGAAGCACAGGCAAAGGAAAAATTAAAATTTATTATCTAAAATAAAACAACTTCGAAACAGCTGCCTACGTTTATTGTTGCTGACTGAGTAAAGTTGTTCTCCTTTTTTAGGTGAAACTTTTTACAGCTGTGTAAATTGCTAAGAGTGTAACCGCACAGCCGACTACCATCGCGAGATTCGATAGAGCTTTGTCGCTAAAACAGCTGTTTTCTTCACATACGCCATATCTGTAATATTAATAACTTACATCAAATATCTATTCCTTTTTTTTCTAAAAATCCGTACATTTATTTATTTGTGTGTGTGTGTGTGTGTGTGTGTGTGTGTGTGTGTGTGTGTGTGTGTGTGTGTGTGTGTGTGTGTGTGTGTGTGTGTGTATAACTATTTAAAATGTTAATGTATATGAGACTGGTGAATTGTTTCTTAAGGATAATGTACATTCATCAATTACAATATATGTAACAAACACACATGTAAGAACCAAACTTTAAGTTAAGGTATCTCATTAAGGTATGAAGTAACTTATTTTTTAATTTTACCATCGATTATTGACGCGATATTTGCTCGGTAAGATAGATGTCGCTGATTTTGAGACACATAGTTCACAAGCTGTTTTAGAGACACATAGTTAATGTAAAAGTAAAATTTTATTGATATCACGTACTTGTTAGTTAGTTTAATGTTTGTATTTTCATTGAACAGAACCCCGAACGAGTGGCTTTAAAAAGTATAGAACATTGAACTGAACTTCCCTCAAACAAACACAGAGAGCAAGTCATTTAAAACAAGATGAAAGTTAATTCATTTATGTGCATAATTAGGGAAAATATATTCTTGGAAGCATCCAAAAAGGGGCTTATTTTATTTTGTCAACACGATACCTTAATTAAATATAAATGTCAAAATTTGCATTATAAATTTTAGTTTCCTTTTGGAGATAGAAACGTTGTGCAGATACGGGTTGAATGGCAGCTTATTTTCATATGTCTTATGACACATGATATATCTACTTTGCCTTTAATTCTTAATGTGAACTTTAAAAATGACCCGCATTCTCAAAAACGGATGGATAAGTAGTCACGTAGTTAAGTGTTTAAAGATAAGTATTATTTATTATCCCTTTTAGACACAAATAATAAAAGAAATAGAAATCTGATGGACGGCAATAATATTAAATTCTAATCAGCCTGGACACTTCGAAATGCTTTTAATTTTTTTAACGTTATAAAAAATGATGTGTTTATTATCTATACTAATATATTAAAAAATATAAATTTAGGTTTATATTTTTACATTGGATAGGCTTCTTCTGCGATACTTCTTTCGTAGAAAATAAATAACATACGCTGGTATCATAAGCTACAATTTACGCAGAAGAAGTCGCGGGAAAGCAACAAGTTTTCAAGATAAAAACTCAAACAATGAATCACATCTTACAAGCACTTGTCTGTTTTAGATTTCCAAGATAGATAGATGATGTTTTCTAATATTAATTTATTGTTATTTAATGTTAATGATCAACTAGGAGCTCGATGGAGCAGAAATTAGTGCGCTTGGCCTGCGATACAGTTGTTAAGCAAATTTCGCAAAGGCTGATCATAGAATAGGTAAAAAAATATTATCTTGAACCCCTCCATGCTTTGGAAGGCACATTAAGTAATTGGTCCCGGTTAGTTGGTCCCGCATCTGCAGTCGTTCATTCCCACCAATCTGCGCTCCATGCGATTTTCTGCAATTCCATCCACAGGAAAGACCTGAGCTGCATCAGTGGAAAAATTAATAGGCTGCTAATGAATTTTAACGTTTTGTTCAAACCTGATTATAACTACAGTGAGTATAATAGAACCGATGCCTCCAAGGATATATATAGTAATATCGATGAAACTCTCCACCAATGCTCGAATGACGGCTTCAATGATTTTATACACCAATTTAATTAGTTCTGTCGCAATTTTGATAATTTCCATCGTATTGAAAACAATATCCTGTAATAGAGAAATATTTTGTATCCATCAAGCCCCATGACTGTTGCGTTTAAAAAAAAATTAAGGTAATAATAAAAAGAAAGAAGTATTTAATGATTATATGTCTTACGATTTGTCTAGCTATGGAGATGTGATGATAAGAGATGATTTGTATGTTATAAAAACGGTTATGATCCTGATTGTGTAAGAAAAAGAAGACAGAAGAAAAGATGGATAGACTTTGTAAATGCGTACGAAAAAAGTGAATCTTGATATAAAGGTTAGTCGAGATATATAGAAAAAGAATACATATAAAAAAAAAAGACAAAATTCAGTACTATGGAAGTTTCAAGAACATTTAAACGCGTGCTCATTAGTTTTATATTAATGTTGTAAACCCCAAATAGACCCTAGTTTTGTCATTAATTTGTTCTAAAAACACAACATAAATGCTCTTTAATATTATGGACTTAAATCGCTTAAATTACTGTATGATAACTTGGTGACTGTTTAATGAATTACTTTTGATATACTACCACTTACATAAGTTATTGATCGATGGTGTATTACAAGGATTTACATAATACATAATATAGTAATATGACTCTTAGTGATCAAACTTGCTCATAATGTATGTATATTCATATGTGTCTGCGTGCGTGCGTGCGTGTGGCTCATCAAATAATGCAATAGTGCTACTTGCTTGCTTTTGCTAAGATTGGTACATAGAAGTCTTTGGTTATGACCTTATTATTAAGAGTAGTGAAATAATATTATTACAATTTATAACCCATATGATTCTATCTACCTATATTTCACAAATAAATAAATTCTATTATATTCTAAAAGCCTACATCCCACTAGGGAACACGATGTTCGTAATATCAATGAAAATTATCTGATGATAAAATAATGAGTGATGTTCTGATAAATACTCACGAGTTTAGCCTCCGTATTTACCATAAGTAAAGTATAGCAATAAGATCTCCAAATCGAAACTGTATCACACTTTTCAATTTAAACACTTAAATGTATAGATGCACTAATGAGGATAACTATTTATTACCTAAAACTATTATATGTATAACAAAAACTTCACGGTATAATTGAATGGTTAAAGTTTTGACTTTGAGGTAAGTATATTTAAGTTTTTATACGTGATACAAAAATTAATCATTCTGATATATAAATATTAAAACTTCACTCCAATTCTACCATAACCTTCAATAGGTTCTTTGCAATGATATTTTTTATTAAATTTTGATACGATAATAAATTCTGGTTAGTGATAAAATTTATCGTTAATTTTATATGTGCACTTCTTATATATTAGATTATGTATGTTATCAATTATCAATATCACGTAATATTTTATTTACAAACTGTTTTAGTGTATGTTAAGAAGATAACCTAAATTCTATATGAATATAATCTATGATGAATAGCATGGATTATTATTTTAATCTAGGAAATCCAGCATTTTTATAATATACTCTTTGCTTTTTATTCTTTGGTGAAGAATCTAGGAAGAAGTATATTCGAGGCAGGAACCATCTTTTTCTACCTACATACTTATTATTCATTAAAAAACTTTAATAATGGTACATTTACCTAAGAAGCTTATAATATTTTCTTCTTGTTATATACCTATATAAATATTTCTCTATTCTCATTCTCTTTATTAGGTTATCAAAGGATACCCTTCTAGGGCCACTACGTTTAACATATGCTTGTCAAATAAACCTTTTACTAACAAACACGTGAAGGTATTTTGATGAAATAAAGTAATATTAAACTCACGGGTCTGTATCCTGAAAAAGATCTATACCTGAAGATTTATATGTCCAATGACTTTCAATTTTTGGTCACAAAAATAGACTTTAAAATTAACTACTAATTGTACGAGCACGGTTAGCGAGGTTGCTTCGAGGAGCAAACTTTAATTTTTTAAGTTATTATTTTATTTAAAGTGACACATAAAGAATTAAAACAATAATATTCTAATATACATACACACAAAGTGTAAAAGAAATTAATGAATTATTGCAGAGAAACTTCGACAGAAAGCTTAAGAAAGGTTAATTATAAGACCCCAGAGTTTTAGTTATAATTATTTTACATAAAACAATTATCTTTTGTGACCTCTACTGTAAAAATATTTTTATAATAACTTTTACTTTATATAAGGGTTCTTCTACAATTTTTTTCAACCGTACCGATTTAAGCTATGTGATCCTTGAAATTCTCTTTAGTCAACGTAATAAAATAATACGGCAAAAGTTTTATGGAAATCTTTCGTTGCGTATTTTGAAAAACTGTATTTTGACCTTGTATAACTAAAATCTGTAGATTTAAAAAAATAAACAGCTTATATGAACTGTTACTAGATGGCGATACTATTTCTGTCAATTATTTAATGGAAACAGAAACATAAAAAAGTATCAAAGACAGTTTTTCAATCAATACTCCGAGATGGGACTCGAACTCACAAACTTTCGCAATCCGGGTAACTACTCTAACCATAGAGCTTCTGACAAATTTTTGAACCAGTAAGCTTACAAAAACTTTGGTATGAGTCCACACGAATGAAGATGCGGGCACCAGCTAGTGGCAAATAATATAACGGTGTAATGAATCTTTACAAGTATTTTGGCCAAACATAACCTCAATAAAAAGTTATACGACCATATGAAACAATAACAAAAACTTACTATTACTTACCCAACCTTTCATCTTATTTTAGGTGACGAAGAATTAGTGCGAGACAGTATTATTTGCAGATGACACCTCTTTACTGTTTAAAGTTGAGAGGGGTAATGATTGTTTTGATGATGTAAATAATGCTCTCGACAATGTTCTACAGTGGTTTGATAATAATAATTTAAAGCTCAATTCAAATAAAACGAAATGCATAAAGTTTGCATTACCTAATGTGAGGCATGTCAGTACACTTATAAATGTAAATAGTGAAAAAGTTGAGTTACTAGAATCGACAAAGTTCCTTGGTATTACACTAGATTCCCGACTGCAATGAGATCCTCATATTGATAGCTTGTTAAGTAGACTGAGTTCTGCAGCTTTTGCTGTTAAGCAAATTAGACTCTTGACAAATGTTTATTTTAGTTATTTTCATAGTGTAATGACGTATGGTATATTGTTGTGGGGTTCTGCGGCTTTTCGCCAAGTAAGTAAGCGTATTTTCGCCAATACAACCACCAAAACAGCTGAAAGAAACATTACTATAAATGCTTTAAGCTTTCATTGAAGACGTAAATCTATTCCAATTATTGTTTGATCAATATTGAATTCACAATGCTATATGATTAACATATTTAATGAGATGGGATTCGAATCCGAAACTGGTGAATTATTTAAGTATAATTCATTAAAGATATATAAATAATATTTTAAATGCAAAATCGATCAATCACAATGTAATTACTAAATTATACTAACTAATAAACCTATCACACAATAACAACCTCCTTAGCTGAGTGGTTCGTACGTCGATTATAAGGTGTCGCCATTTCAGAGATGCTAGGTTCGATTCCCAGTCGAGTCAATGTAGAAAAGGGACTTCTATATTTTCTTGGGTCTGAGTCTTGTGGTCCATTCGTTGTCTCAGATACATATTATTACGGGAGCTTTAGTTTCTCATCTTGGAATCTGAGTACCGTGTTCCATAAGTATTGTATTGTAGTAATAATGTAAGCATTAATAATTTTAAGATCGCTTATACTACAGTTTAGTGACACGGTGCTTGGTAATCTAGGAACAAAGACGCTTCTTCCTAGCTAAAAAGCGTCCGAATTGTTCAATGGTTCTAATTCATAGTAACTAAGTTTGAATAGGATGTCCCTTTTATTAATCCTACATGGTATCGATTCTGTTGACACTAACTAAATTTAATCTTAATTCTGTTCAACTGCGTTTTCTGTTAATAATTAAGATTGAATACAGATTTATCGGATTAATGACAGTCGGATGTTAAAAATTAATTATCATTATAACCAGTCTATTACTGTCCCCACATTTGGGGCTCGGGCCTTCCCCGTGGATGGAATGGAAGCGAATCGAATAGGAATGGGCTTGGCGGGTTGGTGGGTATAAACTACTGCATATGTACCCGGGCCCAGTGGCTAAACGTGCCTTCCGAAGCACGGCGGAGTTCGGGATAAAAAAATTTTGGTCACCCATTCTATGACCGGTCATTACGATAGTTGCTTAACAACTGTATTGCAGACTGTTACGCCATTACGTCATCAAGCACCTCTATTATTATATAATATAAAATTAGAAATAACCAGGGTTCGCAAAAACCCGATATTTATAATAAATATCAAAATATTTGATAAATAATGAAAAGTTACGATTTTTAAGCTAGTGGCTTTATTTAATATTTGATGTATAATATTTCGAATTTTATACTAAGTGAGATCGCTATTTCGGGCCAATGTTACCAGCGTCACATAGGGTTGGTAAATTTTCTAGCTGAGATAATATAAACTATAAATATCAATTGATATATATCAACGCATATTTTATATTCTTTCATTGCGGCAGTTCAATGTTTAATTTAAGTCTTGTGACTAAAAGTGAGGTGTTTCTTATAGCTCCAAAACATGTGGTATCGATGGATTGAGTAGCAACAGGGACATGGTCTTGTTAACACTGCCACGTACACTAAGAGCAATAACAACCAATATTAATGTGTCTCTTACTCCTGGCACCTTTCCTGCTAAATGGAAGCATGCTATGGTAACGCTTTTTCCCAAGGTAAGTCATCCACCTGATTTGAGGAACCTTAAGTCAATAAGTATCTTGGCATTTTATCGAAAATTTTCGAAAAAGTAGTGTACCCGCGAACGCAATGGAATTCTTCCTGCAATGCAATCCGACTACCGTAAGAATCATGGCACATCTACCGCTTTTCTAGACGTCGTTGACAATATTTTGTCTCAACGAGATGCCGTATTTGGCACCATAATCATTTTGCTAGCTTATTCACGTGCCTTTGGACAGTATTAATCAGCAACTTCTCTTGGCCAAAGCTTGAGTATTATGGTTTGGATAGTCTGTCGGTGAAATGGTTCGGTAGCTATCTATTACAACGTTACCAGTCATTCAAGATCAGTGGGCTTTCCAGTCATGGTTACTCGCGTGTGTCGGATCCCAGGGAGGTATTATGTGGTGTTCCTCAGGGTTCAATTCTTGGGCCGCTGTTATTTATGATTTATAGCATTGCTACCACCACTGCTGTGAAGAAGATGTGCAACTTTATATATCCACACATCCTGATTCAATACAGCGGGCTGCATTGGAGCTAAATGATGATTTACAGAAGATAGTAAAATGGTCAGATGATAACGGGCTGCTTTTGAACCCCTCAAAGTCCAAATTTATAGTAATAGGTTCAAAATCGTGGGTCACCATTATCATTCTCTTCAATTTAATCATATCTCTTGGGCAACAGACTGTGCAAAGGATTGATAAAGCGCGAAATCTTGGAGTACTATTCGCCTCTCAACTGCGTCTTGAGATTCACGTTTTAAATGTCGTCAAGAGTTGCATACACCGTTTGAAAGTGCTTTATCGGGTTCGTAACTTCCTTAGCTAGAAGGCTCGTATTACATTATATGAGTCTCTAGTGCTCTTATGATTTGCCCTCGTCTTCTTTCCAAGACAAGCAAATGAATACAACGGGTACAAAATGCCTGCTGTAGATTTTGCTACCGCGTGCCTTCTCGTACACATGTTTCACCATATTCGAACTTTACTAACATGCTACGGACAGAATCTCGCAGGCAATTGCATCTTGCTTGTCTCGTGTTTAAGGTCATAAAACACCAGCAACCTAAATACTTGCATGACAAATTGAAGTTTTTTACCTCGAATTATGATATGAGGTCTGCCCGGTATGCTCTTGCCTGTCACTGTCACCGCACAGTGGCATTTAGAAGTAGTTTTTCTTTCCAGGTTACAAAGTGCCTCCCTTGAAAGAACTAGATAAGGTGAAGATTTGTTTGATCTCCCTTGACTACCTTGTAAGTTATCGTATATGTCGGCGTGTAGTCAGAAGGGCCTTTTACGAAGCCCAAATAGATGCTCCATATCGGAGGACTATCTTTAAAATAACACTGCAGGCGTGTATACCAACGTGGATTTGTTCCATTTTATCACTTTTCATACGAAAATATAACGAGATGAGCGTGATGTCGTCAGATGTCTTTACTCCTCGGCGATCGGAAACAGAATGTCCGCGAAAATGGCGGCAATTTGGTTTTTGTTAACGAACTGTCAAAGTCAGTGTCACTATTCTAATAAAATTAAAAGTATCGATTATCACGCTCTCTCTACAATAGAATAATTAAGTAATCGAGTAACTAGCAATTAAAATAAAATAAACTAAATCAAACGATCTTCGTAAAATTGATGCAACATATAAGTAATTAATATATTGTGATTTTATTATTCTTATTTGTATAAATTTATTATTCTTATTTTTGACATTGACTGATGACATTTTTTTAAATTAAATTTTTTGTGATATTTTATGTCTATGTCCCTAATCTCTGTTTGATTATGTTTACCTCATTTCGACTTAAATTGATGTATCTTATAACTGACTTTTGTTATAATTTTATTTTTTATTGTCGTATATTTTTGATTTTAATTGTTTCTGCCCTGCTCACCTTGATTGGGCGATGGCAGAAAATCGACTTTTCATCCGTTCCTGGGTGATTTAGATGCACCGAACCTTGACCCTTTATTT